CATTTTTCAAGGTGGGACTTCTTAACACTCCCCACACGCCTAGACTTCATTACCAGTATCTCCCATGTTTGAATTTCTGCCTCCATTCCCCACCGAAAGCACACAATCAAAGATGGTAAATAAGAATAAAGTTGTATTCACATTCGCATAATCCATTTGTATTCAAGTATAAACATGTTTATATTGTTGATTAGTTAATATATGAATATTTTGATATCAACAATGAATATTTTTTTTCATTGTATTCCATGTATGTATATTTAATAGTTGTATTCATTGGTATAATAATTGTATTTAAATTCATACATTTTGATAAATATGTATGTAGAAAAACAGATAGTATGTATTAAATCGTTCTATTGAATCAGCACATGCAAATACATACAAATCACAATACATCTCATGATTTTGAAGGAAAAGCTTAGGTGCAATTTGATAATTTTAAGGATACATGTTTTGGTGTATACATCCGTACTTTATTATAATGGAAAGTTTGGATGGTAGTCTAATAATGGAAGTTTGTGAGTTCAAGGGATGTAATTTAAGTGCTTGCCATTTTAAAGACAAAAAACACCTTAATTGGTGCATTATAATTGTAGTTGTATACAAGTATATAATAAAAACTTACCTTTTATACAATCGGATATCCACCATAATTATAGCTAAGTAGCGTAATTAATATAATTATAGCTATTCAATTACATAAACTCTTAAACTATAGTCATTTCTGCAAGTTTCTCTTATATAATTGCTTCTTTTGTATATGTATAGCGAAATATACATATTAATAGCCATAGCAAACGTAAAGTTTGCTATGGAACGCAATTATGCAAACTATAGATAGCATACAAATATGATTTTTATGTTTGCTATATATGAAAGTTGTTCTTGTTCAAATTGATTGGGTCAATATGTTTTTAAGCTTTCAACATATAGATCTGTAAAATCTCAAGCATGTTCCAATTGATTCTGATGTATATAATTAACAGGAGGTGACATTGTTTAATGTGACTCATAATGAACACTTGAAAACATGCGCAAAAATTCTTCTTAATATTTGAGGTGAAAATTTTTAATACCTTATATGACAATCATATGGTGTTTAGTTAATAAAGCTACAAAACGAGATAAAAAAACCCGATAGCAAAACTTACTACAAATTCAGTAAACTCAAAATGAAATAAAACTATCTATGTATCTAACTGCTTTCCTAATTAGAGTTGTTTCTATAGAAGGAGTTAACTTCTTTGTCATGCTCCTGCACAACACGTAAGGTCTCCAGACACTCAATAACTTCTTTCATATTTGGCCGTTTCTTTGGTTTATCTTCTATACATTGTATTGCAAGTTGTGTGATTATAGTTCCATCGAGAGGATCAAAACCTGGATCACCCACAAGAGTTTGGTGGACAACTGAACGCCCAGACTTGAACTCTCTCAAAACCCACCTATTAATTGCATCGTCTCGATCTCTTGTATCCACAACAACTCTTTTGCTTATCAAATTTACGAGCAAAATACCAAAGGCAAAGACATCAGACTTGACAGTAAACGTATCTGCAAAGTATTCGACAAATTACAAAATAGGCTAGAAAGAAGAAAAATAATGGCAATTAAGTGGCGAGGTAGACACAACCAATGAAGCATTCATTTTCAACACAATACTATATATACATATCAATTGCCTCATTTCCTTCTATTTTCTTCCACGTCCCTTCATTTCAAACATAACACCAACTTCTATTAAACAAACATTAGGAAATTGAGGAGAACAACAGCTGCTGAGATCAAATGTCTCCAAAAACTTCTAAGGAAATAAAATTGTAGGCACCTCCAAGAGAAGATATTACTTTCAGTATCATGTGACAATGACAGCAACAATAATGAAAATAACACTATGTTTTTTTTTTTTTTATGACGGTGTTGTCTGTACCAGCGTTCCTCCACTATTTCACTAGGGTACTTGTCTACTACCAAGTACCAGGTAGGACTCTGTCCACCACACCATTTGATGCAACAATGAAAGTAACACTAATGTTATATTTAATGGAAACAAAAGAAAAGAACTAGAACCATACCAGGACCATGTGTAACGAGGGATCCATCAATGTAGCCATATGGAGCCAATCTAAAATCCGATGCACTGATTTTATTACGTAGAACCCCTCCAACTAACAGACCAAACTCATACATAATTGGTGTGAAATCCTGGAGATATGAAACACAAAATATCTTCAGTCACACAAATTACTGAATACAACATAATAGAATTAATCCTGACAACCAAAAATATTGAACAACAAAATGTACCTGATCAACCACAATGTGATATGGAGCAAAGTTGCGAATGAGGTATTTCCTATCATGCAGATAATTAAGCAAGCGAGCTAATGTAAGGGCTATCTTAACCCTCTGCATCCAATTGAAGTCACCTGAACAAGCAAAAGCAGAACAGTAATTGGAATGTCAACATCTCTCCTACTGATTCACTGCATATCATGTCTCCATTGCCACCCCACATTTGTATTCCGGTAATAGCTACTTTGCCTTATTAATGACTACAGTTCCTTAAGATACATATAAGAGTAGAAGTGCACCTCGAGTAATTAAGTTCTCCAATGTATCATGTGGATTTAGATCATAAACGATCCCCAGGGTTTTTTCCCCGCGACAATATCCAATCACTTTCACTATGTTGGGATTTCCCCTAATCCTTGAAGCTTGCAAAATTTTCAGTTCATTCTAAACAAAGAAAACAGTTGGTTAAGGTAAGGAAACAAGAGAATGAGCTTGCACAAACACAGACCTCAAATCTTTCCAGTGTGTCGTCGCCTGTATAGTGATACACGTTTTTATTATCATATATAATCTTGACAGCGACATCCTTGACATCAGAACCAATGTGCATCTTCCCACGATAGAGCTTTCCTAAGTCGGTGACTCCAACAAGATTTTCGGAAGAAAATTGACTGGTAAACTGGTTCAGATCCTCTGGTGTGAGAACATGATGATTGTGCTCCATTATGAAATCCTCGTCCTCATCATCACTCTCAGCGGGGCATTTATTTTGTCTGAAAGGCAGACAGAAGTATTCTGTCAATAAAGTAGTGAATCCTGTACATAAACAAGCAAGAAAGGGGAACTCTGTTAGAAACAACAATACTATATCATCTTAACTACATACTATGTATGGTATATTCTTAGATCAAATCAGATGGTATATCATTGCAATCCTTGCCAAATTAGCTATTCAGTATCCAAAAAGCTTCATCCATGTTCAAATCAAAGATTGAAAATAAAAATAAATTGCAAACAATCAAAAAATAGAAATGTAATTCTATATACAGACCTACCACAAACTAACAATTATTCTTTGAAAAAAAAACCCTAGAAAAGCAAATACATTAAGATAACTAGATAGAGATCGAAGATACCGACCAGCAGCCCACCGGCGAGGCATGATTCTTTTCCAGTCCAATTACAACAATGGGAATTACGGGAGACGCGGAATTTAGGGAATGGGAATCAGATTTTTTTAAAAAATATTTTGAGTAACTTCTGAAATTGTCAAATCAAGCTTTTGGAAGAATTTGAGATTTTATATCATGAGATTAAATCGTATTGATCACGTTGGGTCTTAACCCTTCTTTAGCCTATTTTAGTGTAAGTAACTTTTTGAGTAAGTCAATAAACCACTACTAAAAAAATTAGTGTTTAGCGACCACAAAATTAATTTTGTTGGGAATATAACAAGTAAATTTTTGGTTTATCAATATAGCGACAGATTGTTGATGAACTATTTATTAGCGCGAATAATTGGCACCTTAGTATTCCCTACCGATTTAACAGCAGAAGGGTTACGGCAAATTGAATTAATTTTGAAAGACAGATATAGCAACGAAAAATCTGTCGTTACCTCTTTAGATTAGTGATATTGGGAAAGATATCAAAATCTTTATATATTTTTTCTATAGTTGTTGAGTTTTTATAGCATTGCTTTTAAGTGCACATAATATTGTTAACAACTTCAAAGTTATCTTTCAACTGCTGTGACTTGTTGCAACCTTCGACTGCTGCGACTAGTAAAAGTAAGTTTGATACTGTTTCTTCTTCTCTTTGACTGCTGTGACTAGTGAAAGTAAATTTGCTACTATTTTTTCTTCTCTGTTTTCATTACTATTATGTACTCAACTTCACTGTGGTGGGATGAGTTACTCTTTCTTCTCATGTTCTTTTCTACTTTCTTCACTTCTTAGATGTGCTCTAGTTATTTTTCTCTTCTTCTTTGCAGTTTTCTTGAGCTTTTTTTCAGCTCTGTAATTTTTCTCTCACAGGTCTCAGTTCTGTAAAAAATAATTCTATAAAATTTCAGCTCTTGAGTTTTTTATTACCATTGGTTTTAAGCAAACGTGCATTGTAAATTTTCTCTTGATTTCACTAAGATACTTGCAACTGTAAAACATTTCAGGTACTTTAGCCATATTTTAGGAATCAGTAAAGTCATATTTGAATGAAACTTCTTGACTGTCAATAAGGAGGGGTGATTGTGTGCTACTTGTATGAATTTCATTACCTTCTATTCTTCTTTTTTGTATAATTATCCATATTTTAACAATTCAAAAGTAACTAAAATAATTCACGAACATAAATAATATGAAAAAAAATATTAAGTTCAAGCAAGAAATTACTACTCACTTCCGTTCTTTTTTACATGTCTCTTGTTCACACTCACTTTAAGAAACTAATCCCTCTTATTTTTCTTTTACCTAACTGCTAAGAAAATATTAATTGGAAATAAATTTTAACTATTTCTATTTCATCCTTATTTATACCTTAAGTTTTCATATTTCTTCATGAAACATTCACTCTATTTATGTTTCATTTTGAGGTGTTTGCGTCTTCAACAATAATTACTAGTAAGGGTAAAATAAAAATTTGAGATGAAGAAAATATTTATTTTACTGAACTATCCTTACTAATTATACTTTTAAAAATCTAAGCTTGACTACCACTTATTCACTTTTACTTGTCCACATTTACTCTGGAGGTGGCATTTGAACGGATCGGATCAAACTTAACAAGATTGCGTGCTACTTTGAAATCTGATCATGTTGAAGAAAGAGAGTTCAAATAAAACTACCCAACTATCAAGGATGCACATTAATTTCTTCAACATGCTCCTGCACAGCACGTAAACCTTCCAGACGAGCAACAACTTCTTTCATGTTTGGTCGTTTCTTTGGTTGCTCTTCTACACACTGTTCTGCAAGTTTTGTGATTGCAGCTCCATCAAGAAGATCAAAACCTGGATCACTCAGAAGACTTTGGTGGACAAATGAACACCCAGGCTTGAACTCTTTCAAGGCCCATAAATCAAGTGCCCTATCTAAAGGGTTTCCATACTCAACAACTCTTTTGCTTATAAAATTTAAGAGCAAAACACCAAAGGCAAAAACATCCGACCTGACACTGAACGTATCTGCAAAGTATTTGACAAATTACAAACATGGTTATAGGACAATGAAAAGAAGCTTTAGCATGACAGATAAAACTAAGGCAAACAAACTTGACTTCTCAGGTAAGCAGCACATGATTTTTTATTTTATTTTTGGAAATGCAAAGAAAGAAGCACATCAAAAACTACAAGAATAAAATGAAACCACAAAATGAAAAGAGAACATAAAAAAATATATTGCATAGTGCAAATCAACAAAAAAACATAATATATAAACAATACTTTTATAACTATATTGCTCTCCCAAACTACACATCTGCAAGTTATCTCACACCAGATCAACCATAAATATTACTGGTTTGTGAAACTCAAGGGTATATTCATTTAAACTGGAGAGGAAAGGAACGGAAGAGAAGAAAGGAGTGGGAAGCATGATTCTTTTGAAACACAACAACAACATACCCAATGTAATCCCACAAGTGGGATCGTCTAGGGAAGGTACAATGTATGCTGACCATACCCCACTCCTCCGCATACCTTTGTGTGTAAAGAGGTTGCTTCTATTTAAACACAAAACTACACAAATCATTTGCCTCTTTTCCTTCTCTTTTCTTCTACGTCCCTTCATTTCAAACATAACGTCAACTTCTATTAAAACAAACATAAGGAAATTGAGGAGAACAACCACTCCAAGAAAACTACTGAGAAAAGTCTCAAAAAGACTCTTAAAGAAATAAAATTGTGGGTGCCTCTAAAGAAAATATTACTTTCAATATCATGTGATGTGACAATAAAATAACACTATTTTTTCTTTCTTTTATGAAAGTGTTGTCCGCACCAGTTTACACGTTCCTCCACTATTCCATTGGATACTTCTCTACCCCATAGGTACGGAGTGGCGGGTAGCACTCTGTCCACCATACCATTTGATGCAATAATGAAAGTAACACTAATTCGCTAGTGTTATATTTAATGGAAACAAAAGAAGAGAACTCGAGTCATACCAGTACCATATTCAAATATGGATGCATCCATGTAGCCATATGGGGCACATCTCAAATCTGATTCATTGATTGTATTACCCAGAACCCCTCCAACTAACAAACCAAACTCAAACATAATTGGCGTGAAATCCTGGAGAGATGAAACGCAAAATATCTTCAGTCACTCAAATTACTGAATACAACATCATAGAATCTTGACAACCAAAAATATTGAACAACAAAATGTACCTGGTCAAGCACAATGTGATATGGAGCAAAGTTGCGAATCAGGTACTTCCTATCATGCAGATAATTAAGCAAGCGAGCTAATGTAAGGGCTGTCTTAACCCTCTGCTTCCAATTAAAGTCAGCTGAAGAAGCAAAAGCAGAACAGTAATTTGATTGTCAACATCTCTCCTACGGATTCTTGGATAAGGAGATTCACTGCATATCGTCTCCATGGCAACCCCACATTTGCCCTATTAATGACTACAGTTCCTTTGCTCAAAGGATTGACACACAATTGCCTTGGTTTGAACCCAAATATAGGTATAGCAGAAAATAGATAAGATTAAAGATGAGTAAAGATAGACCTCGAGTAATTAAGTTCTCCAACGTATCGTGTGGATTTAGATCATAAACAATCCCCAAGGTTTCTTCCTCTTGACAATATCCAATCACTTTCACTAAGTTGGGATTGCCCTTAATCCTTGGAGCTTGCAAAAATTTCAGTTCATACTACGGAAGCATAAACAAAGAAAACAGTCAGCTAAGGTAAGGAAGCAAGAGAATGAGCTTGCACATACACACAAACCTCAAATCTTTCCAGTTTGTCGTTGCCTGTATATTTAAACACCCTTTCATCAAGACCTATAATCTTGACAGCGACATCCTTGGTAATATCACCAATGACCATCTTCCCACGATAGAGTTTTCCTAAGTGGGTGACTCCAACAAGATTTTTTGGAGAAAATTGACTAGTAAACAGACACAGGTCCTCCAATGTGAGTTTATGAAGTTCATCCTCAGCGGGGCATTTCTTTTGTATGCAAGGCAGATTGATGCATCCTATGTTTGTTATAACAGAAATTCAGGAGAAACAACAATACTATGTATAGTATAATCAATTTATTCAGCTTCATCAATTCCATGTTTGATTTTCTGCATCCATCCCCACCCAAAGCACACAATCAAAGATTGAAAATAAAATTGCAAACAATCAAAAAAATAAAAGTGTAATTCTATATACAATCGAAGATACCACCAAACTTACAATTATTCTCAAAAAAAAAAAAGAAGATAAAAAATGAACCTAATTAAACCAAAACCCCAGAAAAGCAAATACATTAAGATAAGTAGATAGAGATAGAAGATACCGACCAGCAGCACACCGGCGAAGCATGATTCTTTTCCAGTCCACTTATAACAATGGCAATTTAGGGAATGGGAATCAGATTTTTTAAAAAATATTTAGGAAATATACTGGGCTCGTTTTAGGTCCGTTATAAAATGAACAAATGGCACAGCATGTAATCTCCTTTTATTTATTGGCAATATTTAGCCCTTTTTTATTTTTATAACAAAAAAAGCTTTTTTAAAAATGAAATTGGCATATTTTAGCCCACGTTATTCTATGAGAAGTTATTTGAGTTTATTGGGTAGTGGGTCAGTTTTTCCTTTTTTTTTCTCCTCTTTTCCACGTTAATTTTAGTTAGCTTTTATTGATATTGTAAATATTTAACCATTATTCTTCCATTCACTTATACCATAGTTGATGTTACTTTTTAGAATTCCTTCCGTAAAAATATACTATGTGTCTATTTTTTCTTCATCTTTGTATTTTGTTCTCAACTCTTTTCATTGTTTTTAAGATTTAAAGATTCAGGTTTAACATGTGCAATTATCTTGGTATCTCAACATAGGATTCTGTGGGATCACCCCTAACCATTTTCAATGCTTTTAACTTTGCTCGATGTGCTTTCCAGTATGTCAAATCAAGTCCAAATTGTTTATTCATATTATGTCTCTTGCATTGTATACAGCTTTTGGGTCATGATATTTGTACTGTATTGCTCTTCCAAGTATAGTTGAGGTAACAACTCGTTGTGACATTAGTATATCCTTTGCAGGACAAGTGTGTTAAGCAATGAATCGTCTCACTTTGAATATTTTTGACTTGTGCAATGCTGAGCATTTTAATTTTCAAGTGCAATCCTCATTTACACATTGAAGGAAAAATCTGAAATGTATACAAAGTTTTATTGAATGAATACACGGATATGTATACATGAATGTAGTGTATACATGAATGTGCATTCACGTGATAAAAATCCAGTCATGATAAAAGATAATTCGATACTCAGTTTAATTTTTTGAGTGAATGAATACATGAATATGTATACAATAATGCATTGTATACATGACTATTCAATCACGTGATAAAAACCAATCTTTTGATAATATTAATTTTAGTCAAGTTGTAAAATTTATAAGTAATTGGATTCATAAAGTATACCATTTTTGAAAAGGTATACATTGTAGTAGATATCATAGATTCATATTCTACTTATACTAATTGAATAATACCTTGATGAACTTGATCTGTTCACTTTAAATTGAAACTTCATTTGAATTGCATAATTTTCAATGATAGACTTCAAAATCTTCTTATCCTTATATAGTTGACCTTCTGAGGGTACGTTAGCAGCATCACTTTCAATAATATTGCATTGTTGAAAATATGTAATCTGCCGAGCAGCCATGGTATGATTTGGGTATCGACCTCCTCATATTCTTCTCCAATAATTGAAAGTGTATGATGAATATCTATAGCTTTCCAAGTTATGCACAATGGATAGTCTTTGAAGTTTCCTGAACCTTTTTTCAATTCGATGTATACTTGTAATCCCATAGTGTTTCGTATCCACATAGGCATAGAATTTTCATCAATTTTATAATGAAATTCAAACGAATTCAAGGAAGTATCGACATTTAGATGGCTTGAAATCAAGCGAGTGAATCCGTTGAAATCAATGTTTGTTGTAATAACCACCCCATCCATGGAATAATTTACAAAATTATTTGTGCTATCCCATTCTCCGCTATGATGAATCAACACTATCAAAGACGCCATTTATTTGTTGATATTTGTAGTAGAACCTCGTTAATTTTTTAATTTTTTTTGTATTGGACATGAAGTTTATGAATTTATGGAGTTATGGATGCTGAATCGCTTATTATCTCTGGGAGTTATGTGGTTTCCCACGTTCCGTCTTTAATGCCAGTTGAGTGTGGCGGTTAGTTTCTCCAAAAAAAAAAAACCTATTAGTTGCAGTATGTTAATAATGGGCTATTTTGTGCTCCTTATCTTTTGGTCTATTAAATGCATTTTAATTATAGGCTATATATTGCTAATTTTCAATAATAGTTGTATATATATGTCATTTACTCCCTTTTGGGTCATTTGAATTTATATATATATATAGGCCTATCATTCACGGCCCTTAAAGTTGTCCGCATAATTCACTTAGACACATTAACTATGACTTGTACCTATTGAACACTTAAACTATTCAAAACATTTACCTATTAAACACAAAATACTTATGTGGCAAAATAAGTGTAACTCACTCTGGTTGGGCGCGTGAGTAGATTCCAGATTTTTAGATAAAAAAAAAATTATTTGATAAATTTGTCTTTTTTTGACACATGGCATACAATAACTAAAAGAATAATAATTTAATTGAATAATAATCTTAATTTTTTTTTAAAAACCCACCCCACACTTCTTTACCGTCTTCTTCACTACAAAATCTTTGTTCCTCTTTTTGGTTCCATTAATTTTTCTTCTTCATTTTTTGTTTAAGGAACAAATTGAGTCTGAAGAAATATATCAGGATAGAGTGTTCTTAGCGCCAATATTATTGTCGAAAAAAATCAACCAAAGAAACAATCAGCCAAAACAGAAAAAATCAAAAGAGATTATTGATAAAGATTATCATTGAAATCGTAGAAAAGTATTTCATCAAAAAATAAAAATTAGATTGCGTCAAATTCCAGCGAAACTCTACTTTTACCGGCAAGACTAATACGAATTTGAAATTATTTTCTTTAAAACTGCTAAAAACTCAAACCATAAAGAATCACAACATAGAAAAGAAGTAGAATATACAAATCTGAATTGAGTTTTAAAAAGAAAGTGAATTTAGGAGTGGTGGTTGTGTGTTCTGGAAAAAAAAAAGGGGTGGTTGCGTGGGTGGGTGGGGTATTGTGCTGAAAAGAAATTGGGGAAGGATGATTTTTTTCTTTTCCTTTTTTTTGGGGGGGATAAACACATAATTTTCATTTTATTTTTTTCTTGAATTGTTATTATGGGTCCATGCCACATGTCTTTTTTTTATTGGTCACTATGCCACATCATTCGCGAGTATATAACACACTCTCTCTATTTTTAGTTGATTGTCAGAAAATGTTTGATAGGTATAATTTTTAAATAATAAAGGTGTTCAATTGGAACAAGCCTAAGATAAGGTGTCTGAGTGAATTATGCGGACAACTTTAAGGGGTCATGGATGACTTAAGCATATATATATATATATATATATATATATA